AAAAAAAATAAATAAATAAATAAATAAATAAATAAATAAATAAATAAATAAAAAATTATTTGGTTCATTTGCTCATCTGTTGTAAGATTTTACAACCTTGTATGTTATTGCTGCTGTATGTACAAATATGTGTATTTTGATGTTTTGGATCACTGACTGTTAGCATTTAAAACTAGTACAATACTCGTGCGTTGCACGGGGCTTTATTATTTTAGCCCCTTTTAAAAAGTAATTTTAAATTAAAATTAAAATTATATAATAAAGGAAAGATCATGCCATTGTGGTGCTTATATAGTGATTGTGTATGTGCCATATACCTATAAATTCGAATTTCAAAAAAAAAATATATAAACAAAAAACATTTGAAAATANCAGAAAGAACACATAGTTTCTAAAAAAATTATTTCTTTTTTTTTTATTTGGAATGGCCACACCCGGGTCGGGCCCGGTCCGGCCCACCGGGCCATGGTCCATGAAATCCAACCCGTCGGCCGAGTTTTGGCCATGTCTAATAGTAAATTTGGATTGATTTGAATTCTCATAACCTAAAAACTTGCCAATTTTTATGGGATATCAATTAATTTGAATTTTCAAAACCTAAAAATATGCCAATTTTTATAGATTTAAACAGATTTTGGTAGGAAATAGAAAGGGGATCACTTTACGGAAGATAATTATTAGCAAATATTTTTAGTGTGTATTAAGAGTTGCTTAAAAGAGTTATATTGGGAGTGTATCACTATTACTTGAAAAAAATCATAGCATGTATGCACCGAATGTGCATCCCAAAATTAATTCATTAAAAAAATAAAAAAGATGACCAATTTTGAAATGATTTGCATTTGGATTTTAATTTTATTTGAATTTATTTACCTAAATAGTTGGATTTGGATTGACATCAAACAAAAAATTTATCTAATTTTGTTAAAAGAAAAAAAAGGAATTGAAATGTGTTGTATATTGTGTTTGAAATATAAAAAACTTGAATTAAAAAAAAAAACATTAAATCTATTAATAAAAAAAGGATACAAAATCGGCGTGAGGATATCCCATCAGAAATATGAAATTGCATGTCATTTCATAATAGATCTGATAAACTAATAAAAAAATGAGATAAATTGGTTTTTACATATAAATTTATTTTATTTTTCCAAAAAGAAAATAAGATACAAAATTCGATTAAATAAACACTTTCAATTAAATATACACAAATTATGTATGGGATATCAATTGATTTGAATTTAATTTACCAAAATTATTTGATTTGCTTACAAAAAATGTACTGATACGTTTTTTAATATGTGTATCACATTCAAACCTCACATTTTTTAAATTCAAATGCTTTCCAATTTTATCGTATATTTATTGAATTGAGTTTTGAAAACCTAAAAATCTTTAATTTTAAAGAGATTAACATGGATTAGGTAAGAAATAATAATAGGATCAATTTAGTTACCAAATAAAATAACTTGGCAATATACAATCCAAATATCCAATTTTTGAACCATTTATCACGTGTGTGTTTTAATTTGTTACTTATAAAAGTAAGTCGGCCATTTATTTTTTAAGTCAAAATTACTACTTATGTATTATTTCAACAACCTTTTTATGAAATTTGTTAAAATGAAAAGCCCAAATAATCCAATCATATTGTGAAGGTTGTTACAAAAATAATTATGCTAAAAAATTCGAACCTGTTACCAAATTTTCGGCAAGAGATTGTGTAAATAATTGTAAAATTTGTTATAAAAAAATCCCAAGGAAATCCGATCATATAGTGAAGGTTTTTAAAAAAAATAATGCTAACAAATTCGAACTCATTACAAAATTTCGGCAAGAGATTTTGTGTAAATATTTATGAAATTTGATACAAACAAAAAATAAAAAATCCCCAAAGAATTTGATCATATTATGAAGGTTGTTACAAAAACAAATGCTAAAATATTCGAACCCCTTACCAAATTTTTAACTAAAAGATTTACCAAAATTGCAAGAGATTTTGTGTTAATAATTATGAAATTTGTTAGAAAAAAAAAATCTAAACAGAATCCGATCATATTGTGAAGGTGGTTACAAAAAAAATGCTAAAAAATTTGAACTCCTTACCAAATTTTTAGCTAAAAGATTTACCAAAATTCTTAAAAATCATTATGGCGTGTGGGTTGTAGAATATTACTTATATGAGTAAGTCAACACTTTATTTTTTAAGTCAAAGTTACTATTTAAGTATTTTTCCAACAATCTCTTTATATTACTATAGATTGTAAATAACACAAAAAGAAAGCAATCTATTGAGTAAACATATCTTATAATTTCGAGATAGATATACTGGATGCAACTTATTATAAAGTAAATAAAATATAAATGTAATATAATTTATGTGTTTTATCAACTATGCAAATTTTTACAATCCTACAAAAATTATATATATTGTAACTCATATCACTCTCAAATGATAGCAAAAAATATGTCATTTATATGATATTATAGAATTAGGATTATTTTTTACGTATATGTGAAAAAATAACAGGAATGAATTAGATGCATTTTGAATTTTAATATTTAGCGTATAATTTTTAATCCAAATTTTAATTTTTGTGATCATAATTTTTATGAGGACATAAATTTATATGTGGTATTTTCAATATGCAAATTGTACAATACTAAAAAAAAATATTATATCCGATATCAGTCATACCCGTTCATGAAAAATGTGATATTTATTTGATATTATAGAAGTAAGAATTCCATGCATTTTGAATGCAAATTGTATTTAACATACAATATTTAATTCAGATATCAATTTTTATGACCATTTGATGTAAAAAATTTTATTGAATTTAAAATCGAAATATTGTTTGAAAACCCGCGGTAGTTATTTAAATTTTTATTACGATTATCTTGATGTATATTTTTTAATGATCGAAAAATTTGATATATTTCATGAAAAATCATGCTAGTTATTTTAATTTTTGTAATCATTATATTGGTGTGCAATTTTTAAGTGACCTCCAAATCGGTATATTATACTAAAAATCACGTTAGATATTGCCTATATCAAATTGAAAAAGATTCCATAACGTCTNCAACAATCCAAACAGATGAAACACATCTATTAATATATTTTCTTAACATACTACTTACTTTAATACAAAAGAAATTAATTTATCAACCAAATAAATAGACAGTGAAGATGCTTTCCATCTGCATATCAGTTGATTAAATAAGTCGATGCACTAACACATTTTCTTTTTCTGATAAATAGGGATCTGCTATTCATCAAGAATAGAGGGAGCTCTATTATCAAATTAATAAGAAAGTTAAACGTTAAATTTAGAGTTGAAGTCCTTGAAAATTGTCTCGTCTGCTGGTATTAATATATAGATTCTTGATAAACTTGAAAGTAAAATTTTTGAAGTCCTTTAGTATGTGCAATTATAGATTGCATATTTCGAAATTATGCTCATTCAAAATTAATACCAATATCAAAATGGCATTAGCTATAAGATTTTATAGCAATATAAAATAACACTATATTGTAAATTTCCAAATATATAAAAGTAAGATTTGGAAATAATTTATTTAATTTGATTTGTATTTATTTAGAACTAAGATTCTGTACAATATTAAATTGATTTTTTTAATTTGAATTTCAAACGATTGACCGTCATTTTTTAGAAAGTTACTAATAAAGGTAAAAACGAATTTTTTAGGTGGGAAATTAGTTACTTTTTCCGGTAAATGTCACACCTTTTTATATTTATATAAATAAAGATGCGTATTTGTTTATGATTAGAAGTTGCATTCTGAGAAAAATCTTAAGTTATACGCATAATTTCAAAATCTCTACTTTGTTGAATTTCTGTGAAGGTATTGTTGTTGATTTAGATCATCTTCCTGCTTCCAGATTTGAGAAAATAAGTTTCAAAGACAGACAGAAGACCATATATGATTATGTAAATATCAAATTCACTCCATATTATGGATACTAGTGCATGGCCCGTGCAATGCACGGGAAAACAATATTACGATTGTATTATAAATTAAATATATAAATAACATTAATCATGATTTATCCATTATTTTTAAATTAAACCAGGTTGGACACAGTCCGACCGGAACCGAGAACCGGTTTATAACCAGTCTAGTTCGCTTAAATAAAATATTTGCTCTCGAATCCGTCAACACCAGTCGGTTGGACTGGTAGGATCGATACAATTTTTTAAATAAATTTATTTTAAATAAAATTTCATATTTAAATAAAATTCCATATTTAAATAAAATAGAGATTTATAAATTATTTATCAATTAGTTTGAACATTTGAATTTATAAATTGTTTAGATATCTAAGCAACACATTTTATTTAAATTTATTACAAAATGTACTATATATATATATATATTAAAATGTTTATAAATTAATATCTGAACAAACCAAAAATGATTTAATAAAAAAGTTTGATCGTTTCGATGACGGTCCAGTCCTGCAAACCTTATATTTACTGTACGTACATTAATAGATATTATAATAAAATATTATTTAATTCACATAAATATTAATAAAATGATATATAAATATTCATAAATCATTAAACATGTTGTCATAAAAATATTGTTAATATGAATATTTGAAGTTTGGACTACATCACATTCACATAATAAAATATTTCAATATAAAATTTATATTTAGGTTCAATAATCGATTTAGTATGGTCGAACTTATACATAACTTAGTCACCTGGGACCAACCAAGTTGTATCAAGTTTTTTTACTATTTTAACTATCATCTAAAAGTAATTCAATCAACATGGCATTACCCTAATTCAATCACCCGATTGATCTTGACGAAATATTTTTATTTTCTTTAAATATATTTAATTTTACGAAATAAAAATATTTTATGATTCATATAATAAATGTCTACACCAAATGATAGTATATTAAGATTATAAATAATATATC